AGAGAAAGATTTGTAAAGTATTCTTGGAGATGTCCTTAAGCAAACGACAAGTGATCTTGATGTATGATAATAACCAGTCATGTTTGATCATTGACCTATTCATAAATGTCTATTTTTATTATTTTCATCAAATAAAGGCCGCTTGATGCATTGCCTTTGATTGCACTTTGCTTCATCCAAATTATAATTATATTAGTTAAAATTATAATTGTCAGCTGAAAAGGATTACAATCACTAAATAATCCATCACGGTCTTAATAGATTATCCATGCATATTTATTTTTAATCTGACCCAAATTATTTACTTGAAAATTCCATCTTCCTCTAAATAAGTATTCAATACCAGGCTCTAGGGGAGTTGAAGAACTTGCAGAAGAATTATTCTAGTTTGCAATTGTCTCTTTTTGTTTTATCGGCTAATATATGGAAACAGCCATATCAAGACAACCAAATAAAGGTGGATTTGTTGCATTGAAATAGAAATATATGTTGGCATCAGCATGATGATGAATTACATCAAGTACTGTCAAAGAACCAGAAGAAATTAAGCCATACAGAAGAACTAGAAGAACTCGGCTTAATCTTCTTATGATCAAGCGCTGTATTTCTCCAATTAATCCATTAATCAAGTAATGTCAAAGAAAATTTGATGGATTTAACAAGTTTTATTTACAATTTAAGAAAATTTCATTTCTATAATAAATTATATGCACTTCAATATTGCTGTGGTTGTTGATGTTCATTCAATTGAAAGCATTCTCAAGTCTTGATATACACTTCAAACACGGCTGAATCTCCTATCCATGAATGTATAAATGTGAACTTCCTTTCCTAAGGAATAAAAAACACTGTTTAAAACAAATTTCAAGTTAACGAGAACAATATTGCCAAAATAATCTCAATGCACAGAGTAAAAATTCAAGAGTAAATTGCAGATAATCCCTCTTCAATAGCACTTATTACAACTCATTTATTAGCACTTAACACCACTCAAGTCATAAGGGCAAGGGAGATTATCTGCTGTTCTTCTGAGATATGAATGCAAAGGTGAAAAGTGCTAGGAAAATAGTTGAGGGGTTAAGTGCTATTGAAAATACAAATCAGGGTAGTTATCCGCAATTTAACCAAAAATTCAATGCGGAAGAAGCTAGTCACTCACTTAAATTTCAAATTCCAACAGCATCAAGAAGGTCGTTGTGTTGCGACACTGATACTAAAGAATTGGCAACTATGGCACCACTAGCTGCCACTGCAGGAACTCCAATTCCTGGAAAAGTAGAGTCACCACAGCAGAATAGCTGAGGGATGGGAGTCGAATGGCCTGGAAATGTGGCTTCACCTGCTTTGATTGCAGGACCGTAAGTTCCTCTGTTTCTCCGGAGAAATCTCTTGTGGGTCAATGGAGTTCCGACCAATTTCACCTCGCAATCTTCGCGCCTAAAGCCTGGACCAAGAGCACGTTCAACGGCCTTCCACATTACCTGAAGATTTTGATACAATTCTCGATATGAAATTGTTGCATTTTTTATTTTCTTCTTAGCAAGTAAGATAGATGTTCTTTGGAATTTTTTGTCCTAACTATGCAGGCTGTTTTGTAAAATAGGCCATATGAGTGAATGTAGCCTAATTGCAATTCTATTTGTATTGTGTGAAAATCAGTTATAGCTTAAAACTATGGAATTACAAAATAACAAATTCAATTTGTTGCTGGTTGACCGGTTGGATTTTAACATTTGACAGTAGAAACTTCATCCAAAATCTTATGTTGTTGGATTATGGGCTATCTTACATTTAGGATGAATTGCAATTAGCCCCCACTGCCCCCACTTATCTGCACCTTCAATAGCACTTAACACACCTCAACTAACTTATTAGCAGTTAGCCCCCCTAAATTCACGAGGGAGAGGGCTGTTATCTGCAATTTATTATTCTAAAAATTAATATCCAGAGGCGCTAAGTGCTAATAAACAGGTTGAGGGGTGTTAAGTGCCACTACAGTTCTGTCTTAGAAAAAAAGGTGCCACCACAAGTATAGTTAAGGGCTGTTATCACCAATTTACCATTATACTTAATACTCGATTTGCTTTGAATGGCAAAACAAATGAGGGAATAAATAAACACATTTCAGGCACATTCTTCAGCATAAATATGAAAACATAAACAACAGTGCAAAGTTGTACCTCTGACCGTTCAGTTTTGAGATTTTTGTACTCGGCACTGCGACGATCGAGTCCCTCCCATATGCCAAATGGTTCTGTTCCTGGAGTATATGCATGCAACACATGTTTGCCCTCTGGTGCCAAATCCTTACCAAAAACACTCGGCACAGAAATCAGGACAACATTCTGATCAGCATCTACCCCTCGTTTCCAATCATTTACGACTATGTGATGTATTCCCAGATCATCAGGAATATTCTGCATAAAATTAATCCAGTTGTTCCATAAGAGGACTGAAGAAAATATATGGCCTCTAAGACTGAATATGACAATTTTATGAGTTTTTTCAATATTACTCCTTTAATGTTGTATACTTCGAAACGAGTCCCTTAAATCATTGAAAATGCTATTAAAACCCCCAATTCTTAAGTTACTTGGAAATAAGACCCTTAAATCATTCAGATTGCTATTATGTCACCCAACTTTTAAGTTATTTTGAAATTAGTCCCCAAAATAAGAGTAGATTTAGCAATTACAGCGATTAATTTGAAAACTTATGAGAATTGGGCAACTTCAATAATTTGAGGGTCTAATTTCAAAATAACTGAAGAATTAGGGAACCGAACAGCAATATGAATGATTTGAGTGTACAATAAATTAAGGGACTAATGTAAAAAAAACCATTTTTTATATCTTCAGGCATGTCAAAAATTGTCTGCTTATGGCAAATTGTTTTTTTATTAAAATTAAATTTAGAAAGATGAAACAACTGCTAATCTCCAGAGAACCACTATATGATTATGTTTATAATTCAAGTTTGGTAAGATATTTTTTGATAATATTTTCCAATGACCAATAAAACGAACTCCAGTACGTTTCAATATCTCACAAGGAGAATTTTTAGAAAAAGACCGTTTTCGAAATCTTATTAGCAAAATAGAACGTGTTTTTGCTTTAATTAGCAATATCAACCACTTTTTAGCCATGTCATCATGGCTAGCGAAAAAGTAGTCGATTTTGGAAAATAGAGACTTTGAAAAACACATGACAAGTAGTCTCGTGTAATAAATGGTCATTAATTAAGGGTTAATTTGATTCTTTTAAAATACACGGGACTATTAATTTGATTAACCCTTAACTAGTGACTGGTAATTGTACTGGACTAGTATTCTGTGTTATTTAAAGTCTCTATTTTGGAAAATCGACCACTTTTCGCCCAGTGTGGCCAAAACGTGGTTGATTTTGCTAATAAAATTTCAAAAAAGGTCTTTATAAAAAATTTCTTCATCTCACAATTCAGTAAACAGGGAACTACCAAATCATGTTTAAAGCTTTGTTCGTGCAAAAGAAAGAAATGATGTAGTGCATTATTTAACAAATGTAAGCTCACCTTAGCGTCAAAACCCAAGTGAAGATGCATAAATGATTCACATTGTGGGGTCGCCTTAATTCTATCTTGGTAAGAATTTGGAACAACATCTCTAGGTAATAAACTCAAAGTATCCCACATAGATGCATTGCTAACCACAGCACTTTTGGCACGTACAAACTGCAGTTAAATCAATGGCAGAAAACAGATAGGGAACTTGCTGGATAACCACTAGATATGCCATAGCATTTAAATGGAAGGCCAACGTTCCATTGATATGATTATAAATAGGGTTACTTGTGGATAGACCCCATGCACTATTGTCCAATTGCGGATGGACCCCCTGTATACAGATAGACTGCTGAAACTATTTGACTCTATCTTTTACCCTTAGAGAAAGAGAAAATTGTCTCTTGACAAATAGATCTTGAGGGTGAAAGAGAAAAAATTCACTCAGGAGGTCTATCTGCAATTGGGTGTCCGCAATTAATTCTTATAAATATGACCAACTTACTTGACCATTCATTAACCTGACACCAGTGGCTCGACCATTTTCAACAACTATTTCTTCTACATGAGAACTCAGCGCAAGTCTTCCACCAAACTTTTGCATTCCACGCACAAGAGCATCTACAACCGCACCACTTCCGTGAAGAGGGTACTCAAGTGAGCATCCTGGCTTGTACCATTCTGCAAACATGTAAACCTGAGAGATACATCCAAGAGAAGGAAAAGAACAAAAAGGATGAGACACGTGCACATATGGGCAATATATATATATTGTGCAATGATGAATGAACTGCAATATACATACTACATTGATCAAGGTTCAAGTCTAACTATATTTGGAAAATCATATTCAGCCCTCTTTTTAACTTGGACAATATTTTAAACTGATAACATTCATTTAAAAAAAGAGAACTAATAATACTTCTCTTGTAGCCATCAATTAAAGGAGAAAAAAAATAAATATTTAATCTGATGTTACAATTTTACACATTAAATATGCCCCCTTCAACTCCATGTCTCTACACCTTTGAAGAATCTAAAAGAAATGTGGGAAATTATTTAGTTTCTCCCTTACATATATTCCATAAGCTTTTGGTAACGGAAGGTACATATGTCACTTGAAGATGGACTGTGTTGAAGCTAACAGGCTCGAACCGGCATTGGTCTGACATCGGTCCCAAATACACATTAAAAGAAACCCAGCACAAGTTCGAAAGATTCAAACAAACATCAGTCAAAGATCATGAGGCCATGATAGAAGATAACCGACATCAGCCAAGTTCTCTGCAGAATTCAAGTTGTTGTGGACGATAGGCATTGGGTCGACATTGGAAAAGGTCCGGCGGCTGTTCCTTTCTAGATTTGAAATCATTGTTCAATTGAAATTCTAACTGGGGATCATTTGGAAACTTTGTACAAGATAAACCTATATATGTAGGGTTTTCCCATCAGAAAAAGAA